GCTTGCTTGCTTGGGCATATAGCACATCTCTTCCTGGAAGCCAAGACAGAATCACATGAAAACCAAAGCCAGTCACCCAACCAAATGACCTAGAAGAAATGCCAGAAAAATATTACAGAATTGCATCATATTCAAGTATCCCTGAAATCTCCCCATGGTTGCAGGCTTAGTCCAGAACGCAAATGTTTCAAGGTTGAGGACGTAGACAAAAGAGAGAGGAAAACTTCTCACACTGCATAGTTCAATTGTGCTCCCACAAGATGTAGTGATGGCCACCAAATTGGAAGGCTTTAAAAGAGACAGATTCATGGAGGAGCAGGCTATCAATGGCTACTGGCCACAAAAATTGCCTCTGAAGACCAGTTGTTGGACATCACAAGTGGGGAGAGTGGCTGCTGCACTCTGGTCCTGATTCCAGGTTTCCCATAGGCATCTGTTTGGCCAATGTGAGAACAGGATACTGGACTAGATTGGCCAATGACCTGTTCAAGCAGGTTCTTCTGACGTTCTTAAAGCCAGTCCAAGCAGGTGGTTGCCAGAAAGCCTTTGAAAGGTTCTCCATATTAGCATGCCTTTTTAGTGTCACACTGTCACAGCTGATTATAGAAACTTCCCTCACATCAATTAGATTAGCTCCAGCATGGCCACTACCACCCATTTTACGTTGGTACATGGTGCACAAACAAACCTAACAGCACTCCCTCAAGCCAAATATACCAATAATGTGCAGCAACCTACAGTACAGACTTCAATACCTATCATTACCAATTCAAACTCTTCAGGACGGGATGCTTATGGAATAAGTACAAAGAACTGGTTGGGGTTGGGAGATAATGTACAGGTTGAAATGTGCCACAGGTTAAAAAAAAAAACAGAGGACTCGACAAAGTGCTTTAGTAAATGGAATGCAAGCAAGCAAGCTGTGTTCTTTCTCCTTATAGCCTCCAGCTCTCCAGCAACATTGACAACAGAGACTTTACCTCCCGCTCAGACCTTTCACCCTGAAGCAGAGCCAACCCCCAGTGCTGAGGGTCAGAAGGGAGGTAATAATGGAAAGAGGGACGTCAAATCAACTGGTTGGGATCTGTTGCCATTTGAGTCATCCAGCATATGACTTCCGGGAGGTGGCAAGAACTTCTGGGTGGAGACATCACCCAACTGCATCTTCTTTGGGTGGTGGACTGCACTGGACACTCACAATATCATTTGTGATATTTGCTAAATTTACAAATATAAAAACCTGGAGTAGATTGAAGTAAGTGGGCTTTCCTTCATTTGGGCACAGAGAAATGTCTTCAGCTGCCACTCCCATGTCTGCGCCCAAATTTCATTTCTGAATTCTCTCTTCAGTCCCCAGCCCCCAGGCTCCACTGGGAACAGAGACAACTTTACCTCCAGTCCAGACGCCTCACCCTGGACCAGAACAAACCACCATTCTGAAGGGAGGTAGGAATTGAAACAGAGGTGTCTAATCAACTGGTTAGGATCTGTTTGCCATTTGAGTCATCTAGAACAATAATTTCTGAACTCTTTCTTCAGCCCCTACTCCACAGGTTCCATTGAGACCAGAGACGACTTTACCACCAGCCCAGACACCTCACCCTGGACCAGAACAAACCACCATTCTGAAAGGAGGTAGGTATGATGGGAAAGTTTGTTTTTCTGGGCAGGTTGCATTACCAAGTGTTTTCTTTTTCTTTTTCCCTGCCCACAAACAGTTAATGAATGGCACTTCTGATTGGCCGGGGTTCCAAGAGCAGGAGTTGAAAAGGAGAGGATTTGGAGAGACAGGTTTTAGGTTGGGAGACAGGTTTCAGTTTGGGAGATAGGGAGTGAGAAGAGAAAGAGTTGGTTCTGGGTAGAAACATCCACTCTGAGTAATATATCAAAAGCTACAGAAAGGAGTCTCTGAGTTTAGTGTGAAGGACAGTGTATGGTGTCCTGTGAGAGTAATAGGCCAGGAATTAACTGGGAGGCTGAGGCTGAGCCAGAAGTAGAAGCTGGAAAGATACAGTCTACTTAAGTCTTATTCCAGTCAGGAGGGGAGAGATTCTGCTACAAAAAGGGAATACTCCCAAACAAGTTAAGAGGGGTGTGGTGATCCCTTGGGTCTGTTACTTGGAGTACCTCAGCAGTAGGGTTGTCAAAGGGGTGTGTAACTGACAAGAAGTACCACCTTGTTTAAGAACCAATGTATTAAGCGGCAACAGCTGTGCAACTGAGAAAGAACTGAAGTGAAATAACTAGAAATAGGCTGAACATTTACCCTTTAGTCTAAAAACCTGTAACATCTACCTGAAGCGAAGTAACTGAACATAAGCAACTGAAGTTTAAAAGAAGCTGTGCTTGATCAGAAGTTCATAACACTTAGGTTTAGTATAAATATTATTAGGTGACCAGTTTCCTGAAAAAACATTATAACCAGAAGTGCCCTTTGTTTAATAAAATCTTTCTTGTTTATTTGATCAAATCCTGCCTGAGACCTCCAAATCATAAAGTTTTCCCTCACACAAGCCCCCCACTAGATAATGTGGGGTAATTTGTAGAAATTCATGTAATTGGTGTACTGTGAAATGGTTGCACTATATTTGCGTGAGGGCAGGCCCAATGGCGCCGAGGGGGGGAAATGTCATTGCGCCATCACAGTAGGAATAGAAACAGAGATGCCTAATCAACTGATTGGGATCTGTTGCCATTTGAGTCGTCTAGATCAGTTGTTCCTAATTAGCTAAGTACTGCAGGCCCTCTGTTTTTCAAAAGTCAAGCCATGCACCCCATGCTTTTGAAAATTTTGATATCTCTGTAGAAGTTTTTGTTGTGTGAATGGTGCCACAGACCCTCTGAGTGTCCACAGATCACCAACTGGGAACCACTGATCTAGAATATTGTGTGTTCCCCACGTCTAAGAGGTGACTAGAATTTCTAGGAAGAGATGCCACCCAACTGAATTTCCTTTGGGTGGTAGACTGCACTGAACACCCACAATGTCTTTTGTGATATTTGCTTAATTTACAAATATAAATGTCAAGAATGAATTGAAGCAAGTGGGCATTCCTTCAAGGAGGCACAGAACCCCACAGTTCAGCTACCACTCCCAAGTCTGCACCCCAAGTTTAATCTCTGAACTCTTTCTTCAGAGCCCACTCCCCAGGTGCCATTGAGACCAGAGACAACTTTACCTCCAGTCCAGACGCCTCACCCTGGACCAGAACAAACCACCATTCTGAAGGGAGGTAGGAATGGAAACAGAGATGTCTAATCAACTGTAGGGATCTGTTTGCCATTTGAGTCATCTAGAACAATAATCTCTGAACTCTTTCTTCAGAGCCCACTCCCCAGGTTCCATTGAGACCAGAGACAACTTTACCTCCAGTCCAGACGCCTCACCCTGGACCAGAACAAACCACCATTCTGAAGGGAGGTAGGAATGGAAACAGAGATGTCTAATCAACTGGTTGGGATCTATTGCCATTTGAGTCACCTAAAACAATAATCTCTGAACTCTTTCTTCAGCCCCCACGCCACAGGTTCCATTGAGACCAGAGACAACTTTACCTCCAGTCCAGACGCCTCACCCTGGACCAGAACAAACCACCATTCTGAAGGGAGGTAGGAATGGAAACAGAGGTGTCACATCAAATGGTTGGGATCTGTTGCCATTTGAGTCATCTAGAACAGTAGCTCATAATTAGCTACGTGCTCCTGGCCCTCTGTTTTTGACAAGCCGAGCCATGCACCCCATGCTTTTGAAAATTTGACTTACCTATAGTAGTTTTTGTTATGTGAATGGTGCCACGGACGCCCCGGGGTGCGTTATGCAGACCCCCCAGGGTTCTCAGATCACCAGTTGGGAACCACTGATCTAGAATATTGTGTGTTCCCCATGTTTAAGAGGTGACTAGAATTTCTGGGAAGAGATGCCACCCAATTGCATTTTATTTGGGTGGTAGACTGCACTGAACACTAACAATGTCCTTTGTGATATTTGCTTAATTTACAAATATAAATGTCAAGAATCAGTTGAAGCAAGTGGGCATTCCTTCAAGGAGGCACAGAACCCCACAGTTCAGCTACCACTCCCAAGTCTGCACCCCAAGTTTAATCTCTGAACTCTTTCTTCAGAGCCCACTCCCCAGGTGCCATTAAGACCAGAAACGACATTACCTCCAGCCCAGACACCTCACCTTGGACCAGAACAAACCACAAGTGCCGAAGGTCAGAAAGGAGGTAAGAAAAAGGGAAAGAGGTGGCAAGGCACAGAATTAATTTAGCTCTGTTGATGTGTCATGTAGAATATTGGGCAGTCCTCACTTTTGAGTTGAGATAGGAATTTCTGCACAGAGGTACCACCTGGTTCCATTTCCTTTGGATGACAGGGCTTCCTGGACACTCAACATCCTTTCTGATATTTGTTTGATTTGCAAATATCAAATTTGCAAATCAAACAAATCCACCTGTCACGAGTGGAGGAAAACAGGCTGGCCTTTCATGGGTCAAAAATCCCCATGGAGAAATATATGCATCTGATACTGCTAAGGCTGAACCACAAGTTTCACCTATGGCATTTTTCTTCAGCCCCCACTCCCCACGTTCCATTAAGGCCATTAAGACCAGATACTACTTTACCTCCAGCCCAGATGCCTTACCTTGGACCAGAACAAACCACCACAGCTGGGGGTCAGAAGGGGGGTAAGAAGAGGAGAAAGAGGTGGCTAATCAGACCCAGTTGGGCTCTGCTGATGTTTGCATGATCTGGATTGAATCTAGATTCAGACCTCACCATCTAGTCCAGCTTCCTGTTTTCCACCCTGGCCAACCATATACCCCTGGGAAACCCACATGCCTCCCTCCCCCCCCAACAAGATACAACACAAGTTTCACCTCTAATCTTCTTCTTCAGCTCCCACCGCCCAGGCTCAGTTGGGACCAGGGACAACTTTTCCTCCAGCTCAGACACCTCAACCTGGACCAGAAGAAACCACCAGTGCTGAGAGTAAAAAAGGAGGTAAGAAAGGATTTAACCTGGGTCCTTCTGCATGCAAAGCAGATGATCTACCACTGAGCTACAGCACTTCCTCAACTTTTGAAAGATTGATGAACTAGGAGAGGGGACTGGATCAATGTTTGTAAGGGGCAGTTTCTCAAAAATCTTTTGGCCCAGCCCCAAGTTTCCAAATAGACACACTTTAATGGTTCAGAATTAGGTCCTTGGACTCCATTGGGGTGTGCACAGGGCATCCTAGGTTGCCACGGTATGGGGGGGAATCATTATCTACTTTGTATCCATCTCTGTAGAAAATGATGGTCATTTCAATGATGATGAAGATGTTGATGAGTGTGGAGAGGAAGATTTTGCATCTCTAGCTCCAACCCCTGACTCAGAGCAGATTATTACCCCAGAAAGTCCCCAGAAAGGTAGGGATGAGCAGAGAGGAGAGACAGACAAAATAGCAATTGGTAAAGGGAGGGACGCCCTTCTAATCTGTTGGTGGGCCACATGCCAGTATTGGGCAGGGCTGAATCCAGTGGTGGATGGGATCAATTTGAGTGTTAATTTGATTTGTATATTGGTTAAATACAAAAAATACTAAATATGGTAAAATAAAAGGAGAATTCCCTGGATGCCTAGATCCAGGTTTGGGGCAAGCCCCAGCAGAGCCCCAGCAGAGATTTAAAATCACAAAACATATAGCCAAGGAAAGTGTGGAAATAGAGGCTGTTAAACTTTTTAAAATATCCCGAAGTTGCTTCCAAATTTTACAACTTCCCTTAGAAAAGAAAGAGACCACACATTTGGTAAGTTAAAAATGGTTTACTTACCAACTCATCAAAGGTCAGATTCATGTGCTTTTCTATACAGCAGCAAGAAAGACAGACAGTATGTATAACTTAGGTTTCAAAATGGTTCCAAATGTTTTCTAAATTATTTGTTTAGAAAAATCATGACAGCTTACTAAAGCCACATAGTTTAAGCTCGGAGGATGGAGCTTAAGCCTGGTAGGGTTCACACAGTGGAAGGAAAGAACCAAGGCTTGATAACCTCTCAAGGTTAGGGGGAGTAACCTAGCTAAGTTTGACGGAACAGTCTACTCTATGGTCTTAACCCATTCATGCATTAAGCCTATGAGTCTGGATTTATCCCACACAGAGCTTAGTGTATAGGCGTCACAACCACCCTCTCTGCCACCCCCTTCTTTCTCTCTACCCCCAGTGGGCTACCAGAGAAGAGTCAGATCATTCTTGGCAGAGAGCTGAGCTAATCACTGCATATTGCAAAGTTACAGCCCTTCCTCATAAAGATGTCCACAGAGTTGTATGCAGCATTAATCCTACCCAGGGTAGACTCTTTGAAATCAATGAGCATGGCAGGCTTAGATCCATTAATTTTAATGGGTCTACTTTGAGCAGGACTTTTGTTGTTTAGTCGTTTAGTTGTGTCCGACTCTTCGTGACCCCATGGACCAGAGCACGCCAGGCACTCCTGTCTTCCACTGCCTCCCACAGTTTGGTCAAACTCATGCTGGTAGCTTCGAGAACACTGTCCAACCATCTCGTCCTCTGTCATCCCCTTCTCCTTGTGCCCTCCATCTTTCCCAACATCAGGGTCTTTTCCAGGGAGTCTTCTCTTCTCATGAGGTGGCCAAAGTCTTGGAGCCTCAGCTTCACAATCTGTCCTTCCAGTGAGCACTCAGGGCTGATTTCCTTAAGAATGGATAGGTTTGATCTTCTTGCAGTCCATGGGACTCTCAAGAGTCTCCTCCAGCACCATAATTCAAAAGCATCAATTCTTCGGCGATCAGCCTTCTTTATGGTCCAGCTCTCACTTCCATACATCACTACTGGGAAAACCATAGCTTTAACTATACGGACCTTTGTTGGCAAGGTGATGTCTCTGCTTTTTGAGATGCTGGATCACTGCCTTGCCGTGGTGAAGGAGCTTGAATAACTCAGAGAAGCTATGAGCTATGCCATGCAGGGCCACCCAAGATGGACAGGTCATAATGGAGAGTTTTGACCAAACATGATCCACCTGGAGCAGGAACCGGCAAGCCACTCCAGTATCCCTGCCAAGAAAACTCCATGGAAAAAGAGCAGGACTTAGTTGGGTGCAACCCTTAGATATAGATTTCCTGTAGGTGTAAAAGACTAGTCTACATCAGAATCTCAGCCTCCTGCAGCAACATTTCTCTTTGAACTGCAAGGAACATCTGCAATCCTATCACAATGTGTGCATGAAAACATGCTGTGGTTTTACTTAGGGTTGCTGCTTCTGCATCCTCATTCAAATCTCTCCCTGGATTTTGGAGTTTTGGATTATGTGGCCTTGTTCCCCTATAGTACCTTTGCACAAGGAATTCTCCATCTTTTTCTTATTTTCCAAATGTTGAATGGAACCACACTATGTGCACACCTTTTGCATCAGTTTTCAGTCCCTTTTAGTTTAAATGTGGGTAACCTTTGACCCATCAACCCCAGCAAGCATGATCAATGGCCAGGGATCATGGGAGTTGTAGTTCAGCAGCATCCAGAGGGTCAAAGGTTCCCTATTTTCTGTGTCCCTTTTCTACCTCCCCTGCTACACGTGCACCAATAAAACAGATGTATCTGTACTTCGTGTTTTGGTTTCAGGAGATTTTTAACTTTGTTGTCTTGTATTTTTGTTTTTGTTAATCCCCCAGTTTGCAATACACGCTGGTTTGACGAAGATGATCCTTCTGGAACTGGGGACTACGAATTCTTCTTTGACATCTTGGACAAGTATCCCAATGACATTTGCTCTGAACCAACAGCTATAGAGGTCCAGACATTGGATGGGACCCCAGCTTCTGAGACTGGGCAGATATTTACTACGTGAGAATTTAGTATTGTGTGAAATGGGTCTTGGAAATTGGTGGGGGATTTATTATTATTATTATTTTTATTTATTTATTTATTTATTTATTTATTTATTTATTTATTTATATTTTTATTTTACTGTGCCTTGAGCTTTCATTTTGTGTCCAAACTAGGGATATGAAAGAATAATAGAATTGTAGAGTTGGAAGGGATCCCAAGGGTCACCTAATCAAGGAATCACAGCTAAAGAATCCCCAAGAGATGGCCATGTAACTTCTTTTCAAAACTTCCAACGAATGAGAGTCCACTACACCTCTGAATAGGCATGCACAATGTTGCACTGGCAATGTGGTTTAATTCTTGTCATAAAAGAAATGCAAAGCTCGACTTCAACTTTTACTTTTATTGGAATACCTGTAAATATCTTATGGCATGACTACACAGTCCCCTTTCATTATTGCCATTTAAGGCATTGAAAATGCATTGAAAACCCTATGTGATAGTACAAGACAAGGCTATTAAGACTTATTTTCTCTGAACAGCAATGATGCTCGCACTGGCTTTTCCTGCATCCATGCCTCCCAGGGAAAAGGCAAGCGCTGTCATGACTACCAGGTGCGATTTACCTGCCCACTGTCTTTCTGCTCTGGTAAGTTTTTAACTGCTTTGTTCTTTGAATCCTGTTGATGAAATTCTTCCTGGTTCAGTGTGTAGAACAGATAATAGAATGCAGTCAGACAAACTACAGATTGTAGGTTAAGTAACACATTGATCATAGAGTTGAAAGAGACTGCAAGAGTCATCTAGTCCAACCACTGCAATGCAGGATTTTTTTTGCCTAATAATAATAATAATAATTTATTTATACCCCACCCATCTGGCTGGGCTTCCCCAGCCACTCTGGGAGGCTTCCAACAAAATATTAAAATACCGTAGTACATCAAACATTAAAAGCTTCCCTAAACAGGGCTGCCTTCAGATGTCTTCTAAAAGTCTGGTAGTTGTTGTTCTCTTTGACATCTGATGGGAGGGCATTCCACAGGGCGGGCACGACTACCGAGAAGGCCCTCTGACTGGTTCCCTGTAACTTGGCTTCTCACAGTGAGGGAACCCCCAGAAGGCCCTCAGCGCTGGACCTCAGTGTCCAAGTAGAACGATGGGGGTGGAGACGCTCCTTCGTGAATGAAGGAGGAAGGAGAGGGGAAAAGACAAATGAATGTTTGGCTAATACACAAAAAATGTAACTCCTTCTTTGGAGAGCCTGCTCCATCACAGTGGCCTGAAACTCAGAATCTTTTCCTATAGGTGGTGAGATCCCAACCACCCCAGGACTAGAACCTGTTACACCTCCTGCCCCAACTCCCACCTTGAAACAAGTTGAAAGCAGTCCAGAAATCCCAGTGAAAGGTACGTATGCCACCTTATAGTTATCCCAAGAGATACTTAGGCTATATAACCAAAGTGTCAATGATCCTATCCATGTGTGGGAGAAAAAGCCCTTCTCTGGATGCCATTCTAGGGAGAAGAACTAAAAGGTGAAAAATTTCACACACTTTGGTAACAGGAAGTGGAACTACAGGAGCTGAAAGCTACATGAACTTGCTCAAATTCCAGAATTAATTTTAGGAATCCTTCTACATCATTTGTCTGGAATCCCGGGGAATGGAAAGCAGGACAAAGTTAGCTGAAGAGCCAATAAAGAAATAGTAGAAATAATCCCATCTCCTAGCAGTAGCAGATTATATACACGTTATGCAGTATACAGTCCTAAGGAAGATAGCATCTGGAGGTGGAGCTCAAAGAACAAGTGCCTAAGGAATAAGCAGAGGGCCATAGCATTTCCTGGGAGGGACGACTGCATCGCATTGGTCCTCATCTTTTAGCCTCAAATTGGAATCTTCCTCCATAGGTGGTGAAATCCCATCCACACCAGGTCCAGAGCCAGTAACATCTCCTGCCCCAACACCAACCTTGGAAGAAATTAAAGGCAGTCCAAAAATCCCGGTAAAAGGTAGGCATGCAACACTACAGCTATCTTGAGAGATTCTGGGGATACATACAGAAGTGTCAAAGGTCCTATCCACCTGCTGGAGAAAAAGCCCTTCTCTGAACGCTATTCTTGGGAGAAGACCCCAAAAGTGGATAATTTCACACACTTTGGTAACATGAAGTAGAACTACAGGAACTGAAAGCTACACAAACTTGCTCAAATTCCAGAATTTATTTTAGGAATCCTTCTA